GACTCGCGTCCGTGGTGACGACAAATGGCAAAGACGGATCTGCAACTTTGAGGACAGGATATTCTATTAACGCGCGCTTTAGCTTTTTTAGCGCAAACGTACAGTCTTTATCCTATTGCCAGATTGTCTCTTTCTTCAACAACCTGCGCAATGGAGCGGCGATAGTGGAGAAGTTCCTCACGAACTTCCTGTAGTAGTTAGCTAGGCCTAGGAACGACCGCAACTCTGTCAACGTGCGGGGCGTCGGCCAATCTCTAATCGTCGCTATCTTGCTGTCCTCTGGCTTAATGCCATCTCTGTCCAACACGTGGCCCAAGTACAAGACTTGCGTCTTGGTCCACTCGCACTTCTTCGCACATATCTTGAAGTTAGCCTCTTTAAGCTTCTCCAAGACCTGCCTTAGATGACCCTGGTGCTCCTTACTAAAGACTAGGATATCGTCTAAGGAGACTACCACAAATTTATCTAACCACGGTCTAAACAGGTCATTCATGCAACGCTGAAAAGTAGCTGACGCGTTGGTTAGTCCAAAGGGCATCACTATAAACTCGTAATGCCCATATCTAGTCCGGAACGCAGTCTTGTACTGATCATCAGGATGAACCTCTATCTGATGGTATCCGGACTTTAAGTCTATCTTAGAGAAATACTTACAACCCTGCACCCGATCTAAGAGATCATCTATCCTGGGCAGCGGCTCAGCATTCTTCACGGTGATCGCATTTAATCCCCTATAGTCTATACACATTCTCAGCTCTCCTTCCTTCTTGGGGACAAACAAAACGGGTGCTCCAAAAGGAGACGAACTGGGCCTGATCCACCCTTTCTCAAGGAGTTCGTCTAACTGCTTGCGAAGCTCCTCTAACTCTCTAGGGGACATCCTGTAGACTGCACCCTTAGGTGTTCTACTGCCAGGCTCTATCTCTATCCTATGCTGGATGGGTCGCGGCACTACTCCTGTCGGCGACTCAGTCAAATCTTTGAACTCCTCCAGCAGCTTGACAATTGTTGGGTCTGTGGAGTTATCCTTCTTCTAGCCCTCAGTGACAGGTCTAACATACACCACAAAGACATGTTCCTCTAACTGCTCCTTTCTTACTAATCGCGCGAACGCGGGAGCACTGAGACAGCAATGCGCCAAGGTGTTATCTACACCGGACGCATGGAACAGGCGAGCAGTCTTCACTTCGCCTGACGGACCAGGGAGCCTACACTCATGCTCTCTCAGATGGAGTGTGGCCCCCGCTGCCTCTCCCCAATCCATTCCTAACACTACATCGAAAGGAAGGTCATCTTGCACGAGGAGAGTCAGGGAATGGAGAACTTTCTCCACCTTCCCATCCTTCTCTAGGCGAAAGTACGCCTGGACTCCCTCTACATAGTCCTCAACGCGCATTATGCGGTTGTCTGCGAGAACACTGACTATAGGGTCTATTAACTTTTGGACCTATAGTCCTAGCCTCAGCTTCTTCAGCGCCCTACGGCTGATATAACTACGGGTAGCCCCTGAGTCTATAAGGGCCCCTACCCTGCTCCTAAACACCTCTACATCTACCAAAATCAGTTGTCCTTTACTCTCCTTCTTCATTTTGGCCCAGGCTGGCATCCTCTCCTTTAATTCTTCTGCCACACYTGTGAGGGACGTGCCTAAAGAGACGCTTACACAGGCTGTCTCTGGACAACTATCTAGGCACAGGCCTGCAACCTCTGCCATAGGCTCATGTGGGTTGGGAGTGTCCTGTTCGCGCTCGCTCACTTCTCCACATGGCCTTGAAGTAGG